GGTGTCTCAGTGTTTACGAGTCTTTCTCTGGTCAGGCGGTGAACTTCCATAAGTCCAATGTCTCGTTTAGCCGCAATACTAACGCAGAGATACGGGATCTTGTTGCCGGGGCTCTAGCAGTTGCACAAACGGAGGATTTTGGGAAGTATTTGGGATTGCCATCTGTTGTTGGCAGGAATATATAGGAGGGCGGTTTTTGCTTATGTTGAGCAGAAGCTGAGGTAGAGGTTTGGATCGTGGAATAAGAGGTTGCTGTCTAAAGCAGGAAAGGAGGTCCTTCTGAAGAGTGTGGCACAAGCCATGCCAACTTATACTATGAGTATTTACCTACTCCCGTCTTCTTTATGTATTTCTTTAGAAAGACTAATGAACAGATACTGGTGGAGGCGAAGTGGTGATGAAGGAAGCATTCACTGGTTAGCTTGGGATAAGATGTGTAAACCAAAGAAGTTTGGAGGAATGGGATTCAGGCGATTACATGATTTTAATCTGGCCCTACTGGGCAAGCAGGGATGGCGGCTTCTAACTAACCCCAGCTCTTTGATGGCACGTGTTTTCAAGGCAAGGTATTTCTCGACAACATCTTTTTATGAGGCTGTTATGGGGGGTAACCCGAGTTATGTGTGGAGGAGCATTATGGCCAGTCAGGATTTGCTAAAATCTGGATGCAGGCGCAGAATTGGTAATGGTAGATCTACTCAAGTCTGGACAATTCCCTGGCTTCCAGATGCCCAAAATCCATATGTTGAATCCGAACAGGCGATTAATGGTTAGTCTTTATTAGTCTCGGATTTGATTGATGCCCATACAGGTAGTTGGAATGGTGGCCTCTTATCTCAGTTGTTTAATCCACGAGATGAAATGCTTATATCTCAGCTACCTGTAAGTTTGGACTATGATGATATGTGGTACTGGGAAGGGGATTTAAGGGGATGCTACTCGGTTAAAAACGGCTATCGTAGGTTGAGCTTTATAAATTCACAAGTTTCTCCTGTGTGGAATAATATTTGGAAATTACAGGCTCCCTCTAAGTGGAGGGTGTTTTTGTGGCGAGCCCTCTTGAATATTTTACCCTCGCTAGATAACTTGATAAAAAGGAGGGTGGACATATTAAATATTTGTCCGTCATGTGGTTTAGATGAGGAGTGTCTTTTGCATATTTTTTGCTCATGCCCCTTTGCTGTCAGTGTTTGGCAGATGTCTCAAATTCAAATCCCCTCTTTTGCCAACAGGGGTTTCTTGCAATGGACGGAAGATTGGCTTGGCGGTTCAACTGGTTTTAGTACTGATGTACAAGGCAGAATTTGTGGAATTCTCCATGTTATTTGGACCGCAAGGAACTCGGCGGTGTGGGATGGTTGTTTGCCGACGCCATGCACTCTTCTTCGACGCCTCTCGGCTGCGTGGAACACTTGGACTGATTGTGAGCAACGTCGACAGCAAGCTTGTAACCGAAACACTGCCCAGCAACCAGCGCCTCCTGTTCAAACACCCCAGGCAGCCACGGCTTTTCACTGTTATGTGGACGCCGGTTTTCACGGATCACATCATGCGGCAGCGTTTGGTTTTGTAGTGTTGGATGGTGGCTCCTCCTTCGTGGCGGCGACTAATGGCCCGATGGTGTGTCAGTATGATCCTCCCTTGGCGGAAGCAATGGCATTGTGCGAAGCCCTCTCTTGGTTGAAAGACAATGGGTACGCAGGTGGAAAACTTTACACGGACTCATCAGTTTTGGTCTCGGGTTTAAAGTGTGCTAGTTCATTTCGCAATTATTTTGATTTTATTTTGTTATCTTGCAATCGTTTAATTAATGCTATGCCTGGAACACTAGTTTGTTATGTTAGTAGGGATACCAATGATGTGGCTCATTCCTTGTCTAAACATGTATCTGCAGTAGCAGGACGCTCAGTATGGAGGGATTTTCCTCTTGCCTTTATTCAGCCCTTGGGGGCTAATGCAATCTGAATCTTTTGGCTTTCAAAATATATATATATATATATATATATATATATATATATATATATATATATATATATATATATATATAGTGATACACTCAGGTGCGAATAAGTGCGCAGGAGGGAATATGCGAACGAATCAGCGCGCGACACGTGTCCAGATCTAATAGATTTAAAAAAACGGGGTGGTATTTTCATAAATAATTGAACATTGAAGTACAAGTAAAATCACTTACAAGTGCACCTACTTTGACCTATAAGTGCATGTAATTTTGCCTTGTTAACATTCACTTCCCGCAACCATTCATTCACCTAGGTGCACCTACTTATAACTATAGGTGCAACTACTTATAACTATAGGTGCACCTGCTTTCACATATCAGTGCATGTAATTTTGTCTTGTTAACATGTATTCACTTCCTGCACTCATTCATTCACGTAGGTGCACCTACTTATAACTATATGTCCAACTACTTATAACTATAGGTGCACCTACTTTCACCTATAAGTGCATGTAATTTTGTCTTGTTAACATTCACTTCCCGCAACCATTCATTCACTTGGGTGCGCCTACTTATAACTATAGGTGCAATTACTTATGCCTACAGGTGCAACTACTTATAACTATAGATGCAACTACTTATAACTATATGTGCACTTCGTATTGATGCTCAGTGTAATTTTACTTTACATTTTACTTGCACTTTGATGTTCAATTATTTACGAAAATGCCACCGCATTTTTTTAATTCATTAGATCTGGACACGTGTCGCGCGCTGATTGGTTCGCATATTCCTTCCTAGGAGCTTCATTCGCACCTGAGTGCAATTCTATATATATATATATATATATATATATATATATATATATATATATATATATATATATATATATATATATACACAGAATAGCATGCATGTTGAGGGAGCAATTTTGGGATTTGAAAAAGAAAGGAAAATTAGTGTTGCCATTGAAATATTTGAGGATGTTGATAGCTAAAATCCTTAGTGTCGCCATTAACGCCGTTCTTCTCATCAAGCTAGGAAGGGAGGGTCGCTTGGTAAAAATTGTTCTTGTGAACAGTAGCAAAATCTAGTTGTTTGTAAAAACAATAATTTTTTTGCTATTTTTTCAAATTTTTTTTTGCTATGATATACTCCCTCTGTCCCATTTTGCATGTCTTACTTTCATTTTTAGTTTGTCCCAAAATGTTGTCCTCTTTCCAAAATTGAACATCACCATCATTCTACTTTTTCCCAAATTACCCTTATGACTTTTGCTTTTATTTCCAAAAGTGAAAAAGTGAAGGGCATAATTGGAAAATACATAACATTTACTTTAATTCCTTAAAAAGCGTGCAAAAAGCAAATGAGACAACCAATTCGGGACGGATGGAGTATATTTTTTTGAATACTGATATTTTTCTTTTATAGATGTGTGGAAAATGGAAATAAAATGATAAAAATCAAAAGCATATGAGTATTTTATAAAAGTTTTTAAATGTACCATAGAGGAATAGATGAAAAGTTTGTCTCTTTTTAGAAAAAGAGAAAAAGTAAAAAATTGAAAAGTTTGGATTGGAGAGCTGGATTTCATTTATTTATATTTGTGAAAAAAAAAAGTCTATAAAAATCCTATTTTGATATAGTCTATAAAAAAATGGGAATAAGGGTCAAATAGGCCATTGAACTGCACACAATAATGCAATTAGGCCATCAAACTTAAAAAAAATCTACAATTAGATCCCTAAACTAACCATTTTCTTGCAATTTGTCTATTTTGTAAGTTTTCTAGGTTGCTAGCAGGTCACTTTTAATTTAAAATATTTTTTAAAATATTTATTATTTAAATTTAAAAAGAAAGAAAGAAAGATACAGATCGTCTCCGGCCATGGATTCGTCTCCATGGTCGGAGATGTCTTCGTCTCCGGCCACGGAGATGAATCCATGGTCGGAGACGGTCTGTTTTTCTTTATTATTATTATTATTTTATTTTTATTTTAAATAATTATTTTAAATAATAAATATTTTAAAAACTATTCTAAATAAAAGGTGACCTACTAACAAACCTAGAAAACTTACAAATTAGACAAATTATAAGAAAATGGTTAGTTTAGGGATCTAGTTGTAGCTTTTTTAGGTTTAGTGGTCTAATTGCATTATTGTGTGCAGTTCTATGTCTTTTTATTAAACTGTTAGCACTAAAAACCACTAATCTTTTGGTGAAAATGGTGGTTCACCTATGTTTTCTCTTTTGTATTAACCCAATAGTCGCTTGAAATGTTAGAAACTGTAATAAGATTTAGAAAAATTACATCAACACCAACATGCACAACCATAAACAATATGTTTCGGGATAACCAGGCTGCTACGTCTACGTACAACTAAAAAGTACTCAGAAAATCATAATAGATCTATACATCAACAACCAACATGGTATATACCACGAAATTTTTGTAATTTTGTCACTCTTATTTTTCTATATTGTATGTTAAAGTAATTTCTTTATTGTTTCTATTTTCCATTTTATATTTCCGTTCCAACTTTTTATATATTACATCTCTTAAATTTTTCACACAATTACACAATAAGATGAACAATATTCATTACATGCATCGCATGTGTATCATACTAGTTCCAAAAAAATAATAAGTGTTTGAATACCTAGAGACTTTTAAAGACTACTCTTTAAGTCTGAATGGGATAGCAATAATTTTTTAAAATGTTTTAAAAGTCTAAATTAAATACCACTAAACTTTTAAAATTGTTAAAAATCTTTAAAAAGTCTTTGTGACGAGTCAATTAAAACGCGTTGTGAGCCAAATAGTTGCTTCCAGGAAAATATTGCAACCTTATTGGTGTTGACTAATTAATGTCGTAGCATGTGCATACTGTATATATACAATTCTCATTCAAGCTAAAACTTAACCAATTAAACATATATTTTCCCTTTAATTTTGAAACTATTAAAAGTTTTCTCATCATGGGGACATCTTTACCTCAAATCAATCACTTCCTGGTTACCTTCCTCACCTTTGTAGTTATGGGGTTGTGCATTTGTTGTAGCGGAAGCAACAATACTAGGATTTGCAAGGAAGAGGAGAAACAGGCGCTATTGTGCTTCAAGGAGGAGTCAAAAATTCTAAGGAATTGGGTTGATAGAGCTGATTGTTGCACTGAATGGGAAGGAGTTGTGTGTGATAATGTAACCGGCCATGTCATTGAACTCCATCTATCAACTTTTGAGGATAATCTTCCAAGAGGTAAACTTAGTTCTTGCTTGCTTGAAGTGAAACAATTACGTTACCTCGATCTTAGTGGTCTCAATTTCAGTGAGTCTCACATCCCCAATTTCATTGGATCTTTTGTAAATTTGCAATATATTGATCTATCTTCTACAAGCTTTGAAGGAATAATCCCCCATCAACTTGGAAACCTTTCACAATTGCATACTTTACATTTGAGAGATGAGGCTCTCAAAGCTGACAGCCTTGATTGGTTATCCAGTCTCTCAAATTTAAAAGTATTGGACTTGACTTTTGCTAATCTTAGCATGGTACATAATTGGGCAGAGGTGATCAATATGCTTCCTTCCTTGCGTGAGCTTTATTTAACTGATATTTCAAAATTATCACATCCACTTGGCCATAACAAATCTTCACTTCAAGTCCTTGATCTTGCAAATAATGAATTCAACACTGTCATTTTTAGATGGATATTCAACTTTGATAGCCTTATTTCACTTCAACTATATGATTGTGGTTTTCAAAGTCCGTTTCCTGATGATCCTTGGAATTTGACATCCCTTAGAACTCTTGACATCTCTGCAAATCAATTCCATGGTCATCTTCCCAATAGTCTTTGGAATTTGACATCCCTTAGAACTCTTGACATCTCTGCAAATCAATTCCATGGTCATCTTCCCAATAGTCTTTGGAATTTGACATCCCTTAGAACTCTTGACATCTCTGCAAATCAATTCCATGGTCATCTTCCCAATAGTCTTTGGAATTTGACATCCCTTAGAACTCTTGACATCTCTGCAAATCAATTCCATGGTCATCTTCCCAATAGTCTTTGGAATTTGACATCCCTTAGAACTCTTGACATCTCTGCAAATCAATTCCATGGTCATCTTCCCAATAGTCTTTGGAATTTGACATCCCTTAGAACTCTTGACATCTCTGCAAATCAATTCCATGGTCATCTTCCCAATAGTCTTTGGAATTTGACATCCCTTAGAACTCTTGACATCTCTGCAAATCAATTCCATGGTCATCTTCCCAATAGTCTTTGGAATTTGACATCCCTTAGAACTCTTGACATCTCTGCAAATCAATTCCATGGTCATCTTCCCAATAGTCTTTGGAATTTGACATCCCTTAGAACTCTTGACATCTCTGCAAATCAATTCCATGGTCATCTTCCCAATAGTCTTTGGAATTTGACATCCCTTAGCAATCTTTACATCTCTGCAAATCAATTTCATGGCCATCTTCCCAATAGTCTTTGGAATTTGACATCCCTTAGCATTCTTTACATCTCTGGAAATCAATTCCATGGCCATCTTCCCAATAGTCTTTGGAACTTGACTTCTTTGTCAGACCTTGATCTCTCTGAAAATATGTTCACAGGGGAGATACCAAAGCCAATTGGAAAACTCAACAAGTTGCAAAGAGTTAATCTTTATAACAACAAGTTAGATGGCCCACTTCCAGAGAATTTAGGATATTCATTTCCAATGTTAGAAAATCTTAACATTATGGGTAACATGTTAGAAGGCATAGTGACGGAAAATCACTTTGTTAATCTCACCATGTTGGGGTATTTACAAGCATCTGGAAATAGATTAACGTTGAATGTTAGCCTAAATTGGATACCTCCGTTCCAACTTCTTGTGCTTTATCTAAGTGGTTGGAAGTTGGGTCCTCAATTTCCTACTTGGTTACAATATCAACATAGTATTGTCGTGTTGGACATATCTAATGCTGGAATTCAGAGTGAAGTTCCAAGTTGGTTTTGGAGATCTTTTGAATTTCGTTTCCTTAATCTTTCACACAACCAGTTGCGAGGTAAAATTCACACTATCTCAGTATTCAAGCCATTTGGAGAAATGCCTTCATCTGCACTTGTGTACTTGAGCTCTAACCAATTTAATGGTCCCTTACCTCGTATCTCTAGCCATACTACGGAGTTAGACTTGTCAAATAATTTCTTTTCAGAAGATGTCTCTAACTTCTTATGTCAAGCTCAAAGTGTGCCATATAAGATTAAAATACTTCATTTGGGAGGAAACAGGTTATTTGGAGAAATTCCCAATTGTTGGATGCACTGGCCACAGTTAAAAGTCATAAATATGGGCAATAACCAACTGATTGGAAGCATCCCAAATTCCATTGGGCTTTTGGATAAGTTGAAATCTTTGGATATGCACAAGAACATGCTTTTTGGCCCTATACCTCCATCATTGCAAAATTGCACCCTTTTGTTGAAAATTGATTTGGGTGAAAATGGATTCACAGGAAAGATTCCAAGATGGCTGGGGACTAAACTTTTAGATTTGACAATTTTTAGACTCCGATCAAATAAGTTTTACGGTGAATTGCCTCTAGAATTTTGCCATCTTAAATCACTTCGCATTTTGGATCTTTCCAATAACAACCTCTCTGGTGTGATTCCTTGGTGTCTTAAAAATCTCACTGCAATGATCAATGAAGAGGCAATTCAAGATGGAGAATTTGAAATGGGTTATTCATTTTATGCATGGGGATTTGGTGAAAGTGCTATAGTGACGACCAAAGGGCAAGAGTATGAGTATTACACAATCATTCTATTGTTGTTTGCTAGCATGGATCTTTCAAGTAACAATTTTTCTGGGGACATTCCAATTGAATTGGCTAATCTTGTGAGATTGAGATCCTTAAACTTATCAAGAAATAACTTGATAGGAAATATCCCCATGGAAATGGGAAACATGAGATTCTTAGAATCTCTTGATCTTTCAAGAAATCAACTTTCAGGGGAAATTCCAACTAGCTTCTCGAGTTTGTCCACTCTAGAAGTTTTGGACTTGTCATATAACAACCTATCAGGGAAGATACCTTCAGGTACCCAACTTCAAGGTTTTAATGATTCATGCTACATTGGTAATAATCTTTGTGGCCCTCCGCTCTTACAAAGCTGCAGTGTTGATGATGGCAAAATTCCAAAAAATGAAAATGAAGGAGATGATAGTTCTGAAGTAGTGGATTGGTTTTATGTTAGCATGGCTATAGGATTTGCAGTGGGCTTTTGGGCGGTCTGTGGTTCTTTGTTTCTTGTGAGACCTTGGAGGATTGTTTATTTTCAATTTTTAGATGACAAGTTGAAGTCTTTTTTAGTGTGGGCACATGCTCTGATGGTATAATGTTTCTGGTGTTCTCTACTATTAGGAATCTATATATGCATATTGAGATTTATGATTTAGTGTATCTTCTAGCTTGTCCCTTGTAATTTATCATGTAACACTCATTGTCATAATTATGTAACATAGTGTGATTGTCATAATTATGTAACATAGTGTAACTGTAAACCTATCGTTTATCTATGTTGTGCAAATCTTTTGTAATACTACAATGAGTTTACATATTTTTCAGCCAATTACGCATTCATTTTAATTACTACTACAATAAGACTTTTACCAAGCATTAGGCCGCCTGACAATTATCGACACGAAATCAGACACAAAATTAACGCGTTAGTGACTGATTGATCCGTAAAGAATTCATTATGTTTCGTGTCTTAACAACCTATTCAACGTATTAAGAACCCGTTAATATTATTGTGTTAACCTATTTACACAATCTTGTTTATAACCCGCTAAAAACATTGTTATTTGGATATTTTTTTTCCTTTTATGAATTGAATATTTTTTGAGTTTGTTTGATGGATTGAATGGTAGATTTTGTTTTTTTTTTTTTTTTATATATATAACTTAACTTCAAATTTTAGTTTTTAAAATTAATATATTAATATGATTAATGAGGATAACATTTACACCACTAATAATTCAGATGTGACATTAATAATTAGCATATTTATGAGAGACATAAATTACAATTTTACCAATCATAGAACATCACAATTATAAAATCATTTCAATAACTCGCAAATAAACATTACAAATCATTGAAGCTTACAGTCTTCTACTTTCTTCTTGTTCTCTTTCAGCTGCTTCCTCACCACTTCTCGTGGTCATCCAATTCTTCATTTATGTTCCTTCTTGTTGTCTGGAAACCAATTAATACGAAGCATTCCAAATTCCATTGGGTTTTTGAATCATTTGCATTGGAATCTAATAACTTGGGGTTTATTACTAACTGAAAATTAGAGAATGGAAAATAGAAAACATGTTTACTAACATAGTTTTTAATTTTGAAAACATGAAACAATTTTTGAATTTTTTAGAAAACTGAAAAACTATTAAAAAATGTTTTCTAAATGGAAAAACAGAATTATCTATTATCAATCATTAGGTTTTATGTAAACTTAATAGGTTATTGGTTCGAATATCTTTTTAGTTATATTATCTAAACTAGGTTTTAGGTGAACTTACATATATTAGACTTAAAATTTAAAATTATATTTATTCTATTTAAACTAAATATATTTTAAATATAATGACTAAAAATCGCCTGAAATTAAACTTGTGTTAATTTTATAGTGTTAATCTAAAAAAATAAATTTGAAAAAAATAAATTTTAGTAAACAAGTTAAAAAAAAAAAAAAAACAAAGAATGAAAACTGAAAAATTAGAAAATAAAAAACAGTTTCCATGAGCCCTATGTGTTTATTGTTCCGATTCCAATTCAATTAGGTTTGCATAGTACTCAATTCAGTTTGAATTGGATAGTTTAAATTTTAAACAAAATCGTGATCATGCCTACCCACAGCTCGCAACTATAGTTATATCATGGACAATGTGCATATAGCAACATGAACCTAAGCCACCCCCAATTTCTCTCCTTAATTTATTTTTCAACTTGAATTTACTCTTTTTTTATACAAATATAATTACTGTAATAATTAAAATATTTTAAATGATACATATAGTAGTTTTTTTATTTAATTTTTTAAATGAATCAATATGTTCATAAAATTATTAAGTTAGGTTTATAGAATTATTAAACTAAAATAGATTCAGTAATTATTTTAAATTCATATAGTTTTAATAGTTAATACAGTTTCATAAAGTTCATAAGGTTACCATTGCACATTCATAAGAAGTCACTATTATAACAGCATATTTGGTTCACTAAAAGAATGTTGAGTGAATAGAAATCTCATTCTAGTCAAATACACCTTTGTGCAGGGACGGAGCCAGGATTTTTGTTGAGTGGGGGCGAAGAAGCAAAGACAACGTAAACTTAAAAATGTTCAAATACAAAATATCAAATACGAATACAATTGTTAAAATCAAAATACATTATAAATTACCATACAAAGTTTATGATAAACTACGAGGTAATACTCCTCTACGCTCTCTCATATTTTGAAATCGCTGTAGAATTGCTTCATTTGAAACTTGATCAAAAATATCTTTTTCAACATACGGCACTAAGCAATCATGTAATAAATCATCACTCATCCGGTTGCGTAAAGATGTCTTGGTTAACTTCATAGCAGAAATACATGATTTTTTGGTTGACAAGGACCCATTTGTAGATATCGTCTCCGCACAATATCTCTATCATTGATATGATATTCATATATATTTTTCCTTTTACTCGGATCAACTTCAAGTTCATCTATGTTAACTTCAATACGGGGCCTTGTACTTGACACTTCGCGACTACTTTGACTAGATGAATCCCCAAAAGTTGATTTTCTTTTGAAAATTTTTTCCATAACTGAACCAAGATTTAGGAAAATTAGAACAAGAACAAAATTAGAAAAATTATTATACATTCTTAGCTTAAGCAAGTCTCACTACCTCAGAAAATTAGAAAAATTAATCACTGCCTCACTAAGCAAGTCTAAAGGAATAAAAGCATTACCAATAACTCAATAAGGCATTAAGCATTAAGGATAAATTATGCAGATTCTCACTGCCTCACTTAGCAAGTTTAAAAGACATTAAAAGCACTACCTCAATAAGACATTAAGCATTAAGGATAAATTATGCAGATTCTCACTTAGCAAGTTTAAAAGACATTAAGCACTACCTCAATAAGACATTAAGCATTAAGGATAAATTATGCAGATTCTCACTGCCTCACTTACCAAGTCTAAAAGAATAAAAGCATTACCAATAACCAATAAGACATTAAGCATTAAAGATAAATTAATTATGCATTTTTAGCTTTCTACCATACTGCCCGCAAACTGCTCAAAGTCTCAAACTCACATTCATAAATCAATAATGGAAGAGGGGAAGTTCATGTCAAATAAATTAGCAAGGAATCACTTTACCGCAAGATTGCTGGTAACGCCTTTGACACTCTCTCAATCAATGGAATTAGATATGTAACACGGCCACACGCTTCTCGTACAGATCATGAAGACTTGTTATCTTGATTGGGCTTCCATTTCCTCCACCTTGGGAGCATCTAACACTATCAAAATAACTTCAATGAGTAATTGAGTACACAACTAAATGCAGAACCCAAAAGGGACTTGAACATGATCAGAGGGTCATAGTTTTTACAACAAGGAAATTGAGAAAACAAAGGCAAACATTAAACAAATTTTAAAAAGCCAACTTTTCCCTTTCTCATGCTACAAACCTACAACCAATAAAGAAATTAATATTTACAGAAAAATAATCATCTGGAGTCTGGACAGACTGTACGAACAAGTGAACAACCAATCAATACTCAAAGCCTCTAACTCACATTCATAAATCAATTTGGGAAGAATAAACCAATAAATCATGATTGATAATTCATAAACAAATTCATATATTCAAGTATACAACAAAGCACATACATTAAATTGATTAAAATAAAATTAGTAGAATTAGGGCAAAAATACAAACCTGATTACTGATTACGGAGAGGAGATGAGAGCCGCGGTTGCAGCTTGGCCGGACGCCGGTGTTCCTGCTGACCGGAGGCGGTGAGCCGGACGCCGGTAGTCAAGGACGGAGAAGCACTAAGCGTTTAAGCAATTGTTAGAGTCGGTAGTTTTGGTCTTGTGGAGAGCCAGAGAAGCGACGCGAAGAGCTGCTTTTGGCTGAGGAACTGGAAAATAAGCAAAATAAAAAAAAATAATATATATAATACAGCCCCAAAACGACGTCGTTTTGGGGCTGTATAATTTTTGGCAGTGGGGGCAGCTGCACCCACGTTCCCTCCGTCCTTGGCTTTGTGGCTCTTTTTAAGAAGTCACAGAATCGAATCTCTGGTGGTGAAGTATTGACTCTTTGAGTTATAATAGATGGAGAAAATATATTGAACAAATACTATCTTGTAATAGAATTGATAGTACTCAAAAAAAAAAAAATATATCTTATTCTATTACGAACAGAATATGCAAGCAATATAATAAGAATTTCATTTCATTTTTTGGTTCACAAAAAATATTTCAATACAACTATATTTTAACATTCAATACTAATATTAGACATTTATTTTTGTGACTCATGCATAGAAAAGACTAGTATCAATATATGTGTTTTTTAAAAAATGTCAACTAAATATTTTTAACAATATATATTTTTGAAAAAAAGATCAAATAGACCCTTTAACTTTTGATGAAAAAGCAATTAGGCCCTCAAACATTAAAATGGTTCAATTACACACTTGAACTCTTTAAAATTGTGCAATTAAACCTAATTTACCAGTAACCAACAAGTTACTGGTAAAGAATATAATTTTATTTAATATTTGTGTTTGGCCGACCGATCGGCAACATCGCAGCCTCCTTCCAGATTGGAAGGAGGTTGGACGTTACCGCCTCCAGCCTCCTTCCGATTTGGAAGGAGGCAGATGCTACCTCCTTCCAGAACGGAAGGAGGTGGCAGTTGCCTCGTTCCAGACTGGAAAGAGGTGACGTTTGCCTCCTTCTAGAACGGAAGGAGGCAAAACGTCGCCTTCCTCAAAAGTTGCTACTGCGATTGGGAGGCTACATTGGCTGGTAGAAGGGACGACAATTTTCGGTCTGCGGCGGTAGCTAGCGATGGTGGAGATGATGGCTGGTATGATGGTAGTAATGTAGTTTAGTAGTTAAAACTGGATGGTTACATGTTAAAAGGTTATACTGCGCTAATTTGAAAAGTTAAAGGGTTCAATTCGAGCTTTTTATATATTAAGGGGCTAATTGCATTATTGAATATACTTTAAGAGTTTATTTGACCTTTATCTCTATATTTTTTTTAGAGTTAGTTCTATTTTTTGTCATAGATTTATAGGTGGCAAGACATTTATTATCTTTTTTTTTTTGTTTGTTTTATTTTTCATAACATTCCCTTTTGATCCTAGTATTATTGTGGCAGGACCATTTTTCGTTGTCTATCAACAAAATTTTTCAAATGTCGTTAAATATAATGACATTTTGGTTTTTAATTAGGGATTTTTTTTAAAAAAATATATAAATAAAAATATAACGGGTTAACCCACTTTGTATTTTAAAAAATCTAAATGTCTTTGTATTTAAAGGCATTTCAATGATTTTGTTAACGAAGGACAAAAATAGTTATACTAAAATAATGTTAGGACCAAAAGATAATGTTCTGAAAAAAAGTCTAAAAGTGAACTACAACTTATAAACCTAGAACTAAAAAAAAAATTCTTTGTCGGATCGGGGTGTGGGGGGCCCTTGGAGTTGGAGATTCAACTTTTTGGGAAAAGAACTAAAAAAAGATTGAATTAACTCACAATACTATTACTACAAAATAAGCTACTACTAGAAACTACTAAAAAAAAAAAATCTACATTTGATCTAAAACTTGTTTAGAATTAAGAAAATTCGTAAAATTAAAGTTGAATTTAGATAATATAAACCATCGAAATTGAAATTAAAAAAAAAAAAAAACAAACAAACAAACAAACAAAAATAGAGATTTAAAAAAAAAAAAAAAAAAAACTATGTTTGAAGGCAAATTATATCATGGACTGCGGTCCATAATGGATTATGGACCGAGCTTCTAAACGACATCGTTTCTTTTAATTAAAAGAAACAACACCTGTTCCGCGCCATTTCGCGTTATCCGCAAAAAAAGTAAATTGGATTGTATAACATGTTCAGTTTCATTTTGTTTACAATGCAGTTTCATTTCAACACAATTACAGTTTCATTTCGATATAATTACAGTTTCATTCGATATTTATACACTCAAATATGTGAAAATGTTATTTAGTTTTATTTTATATACACTTTCATTAAAACACAACTACATTATCATTTTGATATAACTACACTTTCATTGCACAATATACACTCAAATATGTGAAATGTTATTCAGTTTCATTTTATATACACTGCAGTTTCATTTCAACACAACTACATTATTATTTTGATATAACTACAGTTTCGCTGGGCAATATACACTCAAATATGTGAAATTGTTATTCAGTTTCATTTTGTATACACTGCAGTTTCATTTCAACACAACTATAGTTTCATTTCAATTCAATTGCAGTTTCATTTGATAATATAAAAATAATACGTGGGGCAGTGTCAATTTAGATACATTGTAGTTTCAGTTGGTAATTAATACACCAAGAAATACGCGCTCCGTTAAATTGTAACCACTGTCGTTTCTTTACATTAAAAAAAATGGAGCCGTATTAGGACCGCTGTGACACCCCGTAATCCAAAATTCAATTTAGGGATTAATTAAGTAATTAATCCTCAACCAATTGGTAATTTGATTCCTTAAATTCCTGAAAATTCAATAGTCGGGGACTAGTAATTGACTAGTCAACCCAAAGTCAAGTGTTGTACCTAAAGCTTTGTGAATAGTTCCATTGTTCCCTTACACATTTCATCTTAGTAAGGATAAATAAGACATTTCCCTTGCAATAGTCTTCCAAGCTAACCTATGAGACACATTTCATTTCTCTCAAACACTCTCCAAAATCATAAGCTCTCCCTTCTCTCTAAAAAGCTAGTTAGCTTTCTCTCCAAGCTAAATCTAGGGCTACCAAGATCTTCCAATTTTGTCTTCAAGATTCAACATTTCCTACTTTTGAGCATCTAGGAGGGTAAGATCTAAGCTCCTTTTGTGTTTTTAGTGTTTTCTAAGGTATCTTTTTCTAAAGGTGAAATCTTTATGATGTTTTGGTGTGTTCTTGAAGTGGGTGTGGAAAGGGGACCTTGTTAGGAGCTTGAGGAGTGTTGTAAGTGAAGGATAAGTCTTCAAGAGGTAACACATGCTCTACAAAATCTATTTTCATTACCTATATGATGATTTCTTGGATTCTACATGTGATTGTGCTATGAAATGTGAGTGTGGATGCATTGTCTTGTGAAAATGCATATCTAGAGCTTGTTGTTAGAGTTCTTGTATGCCATTTCTTGGCTATTCCTTTGATTCAAGTCATTTTGCTGTATTTGGTGAGATTTGGCATGTTTTGGATTTGAATTTGAGCTTGGTGTTGAAAATCCCCGAAGGGATATTTTTGTACAGAGCATGGTACCCGCGGGCGGAACGGCGGGCAGTGGCCTACCCGCCGCCCCACCCGCGAGGAACGCGGGCTGATGAAGTGTGTTCCTGCGGGGTACATATATGGAGTTGTGCGGGGATTTGTTCTCCGTGATTCTTTTGACTCGGTATTTGGCCTTTTGACTTCCCGATGTTCTTTTATGGAACTATTTGAGCGTCTTCTTGATGTTTCGTATGTCTAGAACTATATGGTAGGATTCCATGGAGGTTTTGGTGTCTTGAATCGTGCTATGTGTTCAACATTGTGATTCGTTGAACCGTGGTGAGTCTTGTGTGTTCTACTGAACTATGTTCGGTTTACCCGTTTGATAAGCATGCTAGTTCAGTGTTTAAATGCTAGCGTGTGTGTTGTTTGTCCTTTCCTAATGTTGATGATGACTTGTGCCAATCATCGTTGTTGTCAGATTGTGATCCATTCCTTGATTGAGTATGATTTCATATCTTCGTTGTAATCCGTTGATTGATTCCTGTTGTAGTGTGGTGTGTGTGGTTGTACCTGGATTGCACGATTAATGGTATGGGACATTAGTCACCAAGGTACGGCAGTGGTCCTCGTGGTGGCCATGACGTGATTATGGAGTTTGTGACCTGTGTGTCGGGTTCACGTATTTCTTGGGAGGCATGTGTTGCCGTGTGTGTGATCGGTACCCTCGTGTACTATGAATTGGTGGTTTTGTTGGCGGTCGTTGGCGGATGGGGACGACGGTCCTCGGAGGGAAAATGTTAGACTTGGTGTACAGGGGTCTTGGAGGTAATGGTTGGAATTAGACATAAGGTTGGGGGTAGCCATAAGGTTGGAACCGGGCATAAGGAAGGCATCTCAATTCTTGATGGGTGATGTCACGAAGGCTTGTGTAGCCGTTGTTGTGTATTTCTTTATTTGTGACATGTGTTGTCACAAAGGCATGTGTTGCCAATGGTTGTGTCCTTACTCTCTTGTGTTATGCATGTCGGGTGTTAATCTACTGTGTGATGGTAGATTATGCCTTGAGCCGTTCTTGTGAGTCGTTATTACTTCTTGTGGTCTTGGGATGTGTTGCCTTGTCTTTGTTGTGAGTGCATAGAGTCTTGTGTTTGACTTCTACTCTTGGATTTGAACTTATATATACTATATCCCGTTTCGCGAATGATTTTGTATATATATCCTATCTATGTATGATATTTCACATGTATTGGTGGGTTACCAGTATCATTCGTTGACCGGGCGTCGTCCCATATATATGTTTGTGTTCTTTCAGGTGCTGAGTAGACGAGAGCGCGATCTAGAGACAGTTAGTATAGATCCCTTGAACCTTATGATGGTTTGGGCCTACGTGCCTTTGTTAGACTTTAGACTCCTTGTCGTTGACATTGTTTTTGGATAGTTGGATTATGTTGCAGATGTTTACGCCTATGCATTCACTGTTGAGTGAGCGTGGCATAGCACTCTACGTTTTCCATATATTTCATATCTAGTCTTCCGCTGTGTATATTTTATGGTTAGTTTATCTGCATGTTTAAGGTTTAAATTCGTATGGATGCTGTTGTTTGCATTGCTCGTCCAATTGTCCAAACTC